TCTCCACTTGCCGCATATGTTTCGTAGATTTAAGTTACAAGTCAGGGAACACATCAAACATGGCGACGCATTTGAAGAGGAAGCATAACATTTTGTCATCCTGTATCGTATCAAAATGTATCGTATCGTGGGTAGATATCGTGATACGTATCGTATCGTGGCATAGGTGTATCGTTACAGCCCTAATACTTACCATACCATATTGGGCCCCGCTCCTTAGGCCCCTGGGGGGCCAGACCCACGGTTTATTCAAAATAGGTTCCCCTTTACCCAAGGATGCTTCAGACCAAATATGTAACAAATCCTTTCATTCCTACAGAAGAAGAAGGATTTTAAAGAATTTGTTATATTTCCCCTATTGGGCCACGCCCCTCAGCTCCCAGGGGGGCTTGATACACTGTTTATACAAAATTGGTTCCCCTGCACCCAAGAATGCTTGATTAAATATGGCCCAAATCCTTTCATTCCTACAGAAGAAGGATTTTAAAGAATTTACTATGTTACCCCTATTGGGCCCCGCCTCTCAGCCCCCAGGGGGGCCAGACCCACCATTTATACAAAATCTGTTCCCATTCCCCCGTGAAAGCTTCTGCCCAAATATTGAACAAATCCTTTCATTCCTAAAGAAGAAGGATTTAAAAGAATTTGTTATAGTTCCCCTATTGGGCCCCGCCCCTCAGCCCCAGCCCCAGCCCCACCATTTATACAAATTTTGTTCCCCTTTCCCCAAGGATGCTTCTGACCAAATTTGGTCAAAATCTTCTCAGTCGTTTATGACTAGTAGTGTTTTAAAGGAAAAGTTGACGGACAGACGACGGACGCTGCGGTATGGCATAAGCTCACCATGGTCCTTCGGACCAGGTGAGCTAAAAAGCAAATTTCATTGCATAAAATGTAAGTTATGTATAGGTTCAGAAGGACTGATTCATTTCGTAAAACAACAAACATGCTGGAAGAATCCTCATTGCTGTTGAGAAGTGAATATTCTATTTATAGTAACATAAACTTTTACCTTTATCACAGACCTCTAATGCCTCTTCCTTACATAAACACTTCGCAAAAGAGGAGTAGATATCCCCCCAGATTGAATTGACATAATAAGTATGTAGATATCCACCCAGAGTGAATTGACATATTTAGGAGGTAGATATCCCCCCAGAGTGAATTGACATATTTAGGAGGTAGATATCCCCCCAGAGTGAATTGACATATTTAGGAGGTAGATATCCCCCCAGAGTGAATTGACATATTTAGGAGGTAGATATCCCCCCAGAGTGAATTGACATATTTAGGAGGTAGATATCCCCCCAGAGTGAATTGACATATTTAGGAGGTAGATATCCCCCCAGAGTGAATTGACATATTTAGGAGGTAGATATCCCCCCAGAGTGAATTGACATATTTAGGAGGTAGATATCCCCCCAGAGTGAATTGACATATTTAGGAGGTAGATATCCCCCCAGAGTGAATTGACATATTTAGGAGGTAGATATCCCCCCAGAGTGAATTGACATATTTAGGAGGTAGATATCCCCCCAGAGTGAATTGACATATTTAGGAGGTAGATATCCCCCCAGAGTGAATTGACATATTTAGGAGGTAGATATCCCCCCCAGAGTGAATTGACATAATAAGTAGGTAGATATCCCCCCCAGAGTGAATTGACATAATAAGTAAGTAGATATCCCCCCAGAGTGAATTGACATAATAAGTAGGTAGATATCCCCCCAGAGTGAATTGACATATTTAGGATGTAGATATCCCCCCAGAGTGAATTGACATATTTAGGATGTAGATATCCCCCCAGAGTGAATTGACATAATTAGGAGGTATATATCCCCCCAGAGTGAATTGACATAATTAGGAGGGAGATATACCCCCAGAGTGAATTGACATAATTAGGAGGTAGATATCCCCCCAGAATGAATTGACTTATTTAGGAGGTAGATATCCCCCCAGAGTGAATTGACATAATAGGTAGGTAGATATCCCCCCAGAGTGAATTGACATATTTAGGAGGTAGATATCCTCCCAGAGAGAAGTGACATAATCAGGAGGTAGATATCCCCCCTCCCCCCCAGAGTGAAGTGACATAAATAAGTGGTAGATATCCTTTCACACACACACAGACACAGAATAGAGAGACTTAGTTAGGTGGCAGACATCCAGAGAAAAAACATAAATAGCTGGTAGACTAACAGTGGACCTGTACTAGTGGCTGGTAGACTTGCAGTGGACCCGTACTTGCTGGTAAACTAACAGTGGACATGTACTAGTGGCTGGTAGCCTTACAGTGGACTTGTACTAGCTGGTAAACTAACAGTGCCTGTACTAGTGGCTGGTAGACTTACAGTGGACCTGTACTAGTGGCTTGAAGACTTCAGTGAACCTGTACTAGCTGGTAAACTAACAGTGGACATGTACTAGTGGCTGGTAGCCTTACAGTGGACCTGTACTAGTGGCTGGTAGACTTACAGTGGACCTGTACTAGTGGCTAGTAGACTTCCAGTGGACATGTACTAGTGGCTTGAAGACTTACAGTGGACCTGTACTAGTGGCTGGTAGACTTACAGTGGACCTGTAGTAGCTGGTGAACTAACAGTGGACATGTACTAGTGGCTGGGAGCCTTACAGTGGACTTGTACTAGCTGGTAAAATAACAGTGCCTGTACTAGTGGCTGGTAGACTTACAGTGTACCTGGACTAGTGGCTGGTAGACTTACAGTGGACCTGTAGTAGCTGGTGAGCTAACAGTGGACATGTACTAGTGGCTGGTAGCCTTACAGTGGACCTGTAGTAGTGGCTGGTAGACTTACAGTGGACCTGTAGTAGCTGGTGAACTAACAGTGGACATGTACTAGTGGCTGGGAGCCTTACAGCGGACCTGTACTAGTGGCTGGTAGACTTACAGTGTACCTGGACTAGTGGCTGGTAGACTTACAGTGGACCTGTAGTAGCTGGTGAGCTAACAGTGGACATGTACTAGTGGCTGGTAGCCTTTCAGTGGACCTGTACTAGTGGCTGGTAGACTTACAGTGTACCTGTACTAGGGGCTGGTAGACTTACAGTGTACATGTACTAGTGGCTGGTAGACTTACAGTGGACAGGTACTAGTGGCTGGTAGACTTACAGTGGACTTGTACTAGCTGGTAAACTAACAGTGGACATGTACTAGTGGCTGGTAGCCTTACAGTGTACCTGTACTAGTGGCTGGTAGACTTACAGTGTACCTTTACTAGTGGCTGGTAGACTTACAGTGGACATGTACTAGTGGCTTAAAGACTTACAGTGGACATGTACTAGTGGCTGGGAGACTTACAGTGGACCTGTATTAGCTGGTAAACTAACAGTGGACCTGTACTATTGGCTTTAAGACTTACAGTGAACATGTACTAGTGGCTGGTAGACTTTCAGTGGGCCTGTACTAGTGGCTGGTAGACTTACAGTGTACCTGGACTAGTGGCTGGTAGACTTACAGTGGACCTGTAGTAGCTGGTGAACTAACAGTGGACATGTACTAGTGGCTGGGAGCCTTACAGCGGACCTGTACTAGTGGCTGGTAGACTTACAGTGGACTTGTACTAGCTGGTAAACTAACAGTGCCTGTACTAGTGGCTGGGAGACTTACAGTGTACCTGTACTAGTGGCTGGGAGACTTACAGTGTACCTGTACTAGTGGCTGGTAGACTTACAGTGTACCTGGACTAGTGGCTGGTAGACTTACAGTGGACCTGTAGTAGCTGGTGAGCTAACAGTGGACATGTACTAGTGGCTGGTAGCCTTACAGTGGACCTGTAGTAGTGGCTGGTAGACTTACAGTGGACCTGTAGTAGCTGGTGAACTAACAGTGGACCTGTACTAGTGGCTGTAAGACTTACAGTGAACATGTACTAGTGGCTGGGAGACTTTCAGGGGGCCTGTACTAGCTGGGAAACTAACAGTGGACCTGTACTAGTGGCTAGTAGACTTCCAGTGGACATGTACTAGTGGCTTTAAGACTTACAGTGGACATGTACTAGTGGCTGATAGACTTACAGTGGACATGTACTAGTGGCTTGAAGACTTACAGTGGACCTGTACTAGTGTCTGGTAGACTTACAGTGGACCTGTACTAGCTGGGAAACTAACAGTGGACATGTACTAGTGGCTGGTAGCCTTACAGTGGACCTGTAGTAGTGGCTGGTAGACTTACAGTGGACCTGTAGTAGCTGGTGAACTAACAGTGGACATGTACTAGTGGCTGGTAGCCTTACAGTGGACCTGTAGTAGTGGCTGGTAGACTTACAGTGGACCTGTAGTAGCTGGTGAGCTAACAGTGGACATGTACTAGTGGCTGGTAGCCTTACAGTGGACTTGTACTAGCTGGTAAAATAACAGTGCCTGTACTAGTGGCTGGTAGACTTACAGTGTACCTGTACTAGGGGCTGGTAGACTTACAGTGTACATGTACTAGTGGCTGGTAGACTTACAGTGGACCTGTAGTAGCTGGTGAACTAACAGTGGACATGTACTAGTGGCTGGTAGCCTTACAGTGGACCTGTAGTAGTGGCTGGTAGACTTACAGTGGACCTGTAGTAGCTGGTGAGCTAACAGTGGACATGTACTAGTGGCTGGTAGCCTTATAGTGGACCTGTACTAGTGGCTGGGAGACTTACAGTGTACCTGTACTAGTGGCTGGTAGACTTACAGGGGACATGTACTAGTGGCTGATAGACTTACAGTGGACATGTACTAGTGGCTTAAAGACTTACAGTGGACATGTACTAGTGGCTGGGAGACTTACAGTGGACCTGTACTAGTGGCTTTTAGACTTCAGTGGACCTGTACTAGTGGCTGGTAGACTTACAGTGGACCTGTATTAGCTGGTAAACTAACAGTGGACCTGTACTAGTGGCTTTAAGACTTACAGTGAACATGTACTAGTGGCTGGTAGACTTTCAGTGGACCTGTACTAGTGGCTGGTAGACTTACAGTGGACCTGTACTAGCTGGTAAACTTACAGTGGACCTGTACTAGTGGCAAATCCTCGACCGACCAGCTCACTGTTGACACTGAACTGGTAACCCCCACCGCTGTTATCATCGTACATCACTACTGAGAGGCGGTCCTCCTCTACATCTGTAACACATCAGGTTCGTATATTAGCATATGATAGACAATTGTATGAACATCATAATGGTGGCTTTCTGTCTGCTTTAACATTTTTATCTAAATCTTCCAAGAATACAAATAAGAAAGGTTTTTAGGGCCTGCAGAGACATACACGTGCATATACATTTAATTACGAAATATGATATACTTGTGTCATGCATGTTGACATGTGTTGTACATAAATACACACAAAACAATCCACCTACCTGTTACTTTGAGGGAGAATTCCTTCATGGTAACCCGGTCACTCCACCATCTCTTTGCCTGTTAGAAATAATAGGCACACAATTGAAGACTCTCAACAGCATTCAAATTAAATGTGTTATGAATATGAAAATCGTTTTTGTAGGCATTTTGATCAATGTGGACTAAAAACAAGAGGCCCATGGGCCTAAACAGTCACCTGAGTCTACAGTATTTATTTTTGTTGTTGAAATATGTACCAATTTGAGTAAAAAATAGTATAATGTTAACTTAACTTTGTCAGGACCATGAGCTGATCATTCCTAGACCAATTTTAAGTGAGATCGGCCTATTAGAACTTAGTAGCAAAATAGCGGCCATGGCAGCCAAATTGTATTTCTGATTGACCCGAAAAATAACAACACTTTGTCAGGACCATGATTCGATCATTCCTACAAAGTTTCAGTTCAATCGGCCAAGTAGATCTTTACTTTAAGTTTGAAATAGTTTTTCAAAATGGCAGCCGTGGTGGCCATATTGGATTTCTGATCGACCCGAAAAATAACAACACTTTGTCAGGACCATGAGTCAATCATTCCTACAAAGTTTCAGTTCAATCGGCCTAGCAGAACTTGACTTTAAGTTTGAAATAGTTTTTCAAAATGGCGGCCGTGGCGGCCATATTGGATTTCTGATCGACCCGAAAAATAACAACACTTTGTCAGGACCATGAGTCGATCATTCCTACAAAGTTTCAGTTCAATCGGCCTAGCAGAACTTGACTTTAAGTTTGAAATAGTTTTTCAAAATGGCGGCCGTGGCGGCCATATTGGATTTCTGATCGACCCGAAAAATAACAACACTTTGTCAGGACCATGAGGCGATCATTCCTACCAACTTTCAGTTCAATCGGCCCAGCAGAACTTGACTTTAAGTTTGAAATGTAAAATGTTAACGGACGACGGACGACGGACGACGGACGACGGACGACGACGAACGAAAACGGATAGCAATAGGTCACTTGAGCTAAAGCTCAGGTGACCTAAAAAAAGCCCTTCAGAATTTGTCAGTATTTGTATAAAATGTGTATTGCAAAATATATGAGATTTGTATAAAAAGTAAGCACCAAATAAATTATACAACAAGAGCCCAATGGTCCTGCATCACTCACCCGGTACTAACCTCACAACTGTAACCTTAAAAGTGGACTAAAACAAGTAAATTTGTGCAATTTATATCCCCCGCTTTCAGGACATATTGTAGGTTAACATTATTGAGGTTAGGTTTAAACATGTGAGTATCGTGCTGTTGAGACATAATGTATAGCTTGAAACTTGAAGAAAAAACAAGAGACCCATGGGCCTTAACAGTCACCTGATATATTTATACAGAGAGCTGTTTTTGTTTTTAACATGAACAGAAATATTATTCAAAGTGACAAAAAACAAAAACAAAAACTTATTCAATATCTAGCATACAGATTTAAGACTGAAAAGTATTTGAAACTAGCATCTCTGATTCTAAACAAGGAAAATGAAGAAATTTTAGCACACTGACTCCTTTGGGCCCCACCCTACAGCCCTTGGGGGTGGGGCTGGCTCAAAATTTTCAAAGTATCAAACTGTCAACTCAGGGTTATAATTACAATCAAGTTATTAACATGTAGTATTCAAAGTATCATTTGCCATTATTTTACCATAATAAATTTTGCCCCTCCCCCTCCTCCTTCCCCAGGGGGTAAACATGAGACCTTAGGGTCATAAACCTTAAGACCCTTACATCTATGAAGAGTGTTTGATTCTACCATATCTGGGTCTTTGAGAAGAAGATTTTTGAAATTTCAGTCAATTCAACCCTTTTTGGCCCAATCCATCAGCCCCGGGGGGTCAGTCAGGGCTCATATGTGCATAATTTCAAACTGCTACCTAATACTAATAATGCTAACCTAAATTGAATTACTTCCAAAGGAAATTAAACAAATGTTGGTCCAAAATGTGATTTCCCTATATAAACTATAGTAAAGTTTACCCCCTCCCAAGGGGGAAATGTGAGACCCCAGGGTCAAGAAATTCACAATTTTGGTAAAGCACCTTAAGACCCTTCCATCTATGATGAGTATTTGATTCTACCATACCTGGACTTGAGAAGAAGACTTTTGAAATTTTAGTCAATTTGACCCTTTTTGGCCCCGCCCCTCAAGCCCCTGTGGGCTGGGGACCAAATCAGCCACTATTTTTGTTGACCTTTGGCCATGGAATGTTTCTGGAAAATTTCATTGAAATTGGTTCAGGGGTTTTGGAGAAGAAGTCGAAAATGTAAATTGTTTACGGACAGACGCCGCCGGACGCCGCTGGACAAAAGGCGATAGCAATAGGTCACTTGAGACTTTGTTCCAGGTGACCTTAAAAGTCAAATATTTGCTAGAGTTATTAAGGGGAAACTGCAGATAGTGTCTCTGTGAAATGGAGTCTGATTAAAGTGGTTGTCAAACTTGGCCGAGCCCTCAATGTGTTGAACCCTGTTACTAAGTTTGAAGACAATCGGATAATATTTGCAAGAGTTAATGAACAGAAACAGCAGATAAAAATGTTTTTCATTATTGAAGGGGCCACAACTCTGCCAAATAAAGTTCTCTGAAAGTGGTCATTGAACATGGCTGAGCCCTTAAGGCAGTTAACCATGTGAACAAGTTTGAAGAAAATCGGTTAACAAATTGTTGTAGTTATTGTGCGGAAACAGCAGATGACAATGTTTTTTGATATTCAAGGGGCCATAACGCCGCCAAATAAAGTCCGCTGAAAGTGCTCATTTAAGTTGGCCGAACCCTTAAGGCATTTAACCCTGTTCCCAAATTTGAGGAAAATTGGTTAACATTTATTGCAGTTATTGCATGGAAACGGCAGATAATAACGTTTTTCGTTATTCAAGGAGCCATAACTCTGCTAAATAAAGTCCCCTGAAAGTGGTCATCAAACTTGGCCGAGCCCTTAAGGCATTTAACACTGTGACCAAGTTTGAAAAAAATGGGTTTATATTTGATGTAGTTATTTGAAGGAAAAGAAACGCAGCAGATAATGACGTTAATGAGCCATAACTCCGCCAAATAAAGTCCGCTGAAAGAGGTCATCAAACTTGGCCGAGCCCTTAAGGCATTTAACCCTGTGACCAAGATTGAAGAAATGCACGGAAACGAAGTGCGGCAGATATTGACGTTTTTCATTAGACAAGGGGCCATAACTCTTCCAAATGGGGTCCGCTGAAAGTGATCATCAAACTTGGCTGAGCCCTTAAGGCATTTAACCCTGTGACAAAGTTTGAAGAATATTGGTTAACATTTGTTGTAGTTATTGCACGGAAACAAAACGCAGCAGATAATAACCCAGTGACCAAGTTGGTTGGTTGGTTGGTTATATATCACCACCCTAATGGCCCTATACCTTTTGTTTATTGAGAAGATGACTTTTAAAGATTTATGCACTTTGCACCAGATGTGACCTTGAAAGTATGTCCAAGGTCATTCACATGAATAAGCAATTACAATGGACGCTTTAGTTATTCAGAACAAGTCGTTTTTTAGTGTTTTTAAGACAAATAACCCCTGTGACCTTGAATACTGTATAGCGGTGATATTATTCCCTGGGGTTTTAATCTCGCTATATTCACGCTTTGACTAATATCCACAAATTCTAAACACCAGCGAAATCATCGAAAATGTTAACCTTATCACAACATGTTAAAAATACTTATAACCCAACGCTGTTATGCAAGCTTGGGCGAAGGTCATTCATCTGAACAAAATTGGCAGCCTTTCATGCCAACATCCTTCTGGCCAAATATCATCACCCTGGACCTTTTGGTTATACAGAAGAAGTCATTTAAAAGTTTTTAAGACAATTGACACCTGTGACCTTGAATATGGGCAAAGGTCATTCATTTGAACAAAGTTGGTAGCCCTTCATCCCCGCATGCTACTGGCCAAATACCATAACCCCAGAGTTTTTGGTTATTCAGAAGAAGTTGTTTAAAGATTTTATCATATTTGACCCCGGTGACCTTGAATATGGGCAAAAGTCATTCATTTGAACAAACTTGGTAGTCCTTCATCCCAGAATGCTCCTGGCCAAATATCATCACCCTGAAGCTTTTGGTTATTCAGAAGAAGTTGTTTAAAGATTTCAACATATTTGACCGGTGACCTTGAATATGAAAGACGGACACCAGACCATAAATAAGCTCACTTGGCCCTTTGGGCCAGGTGAGCTAAAATCTGTACCGTTATAACCAAAAATACCAATCTTGGTTATCCAATCACAGTTAGCATGAATCAGCTAAACATCATGTTGCATGTAGCGTATATGTGCCTGAAACATATAAATGATATCTGTTGTGTGAATTCTGCAAGTACCTGTAGGGAAACACTTACCTGTTGTGAGTATTCTGTAGGTGCCACATCGGATAGCTGGCAGTGCTGGGCCTAAAACAGGATATATCTCTCTTTTTTCTTTTTTAAGAACTTTTCTAGTAATCCTTTTCAATGTCTTACAGATTGAATACCTGGTAGGTAATCAGAAAACTGGACTGGAGCCAATCATTCCCTTCTCCAAATTTAGTACTTAAGAATATTCAAGGTAGCATAGGTTCCTAACGACTTTTGGTACATTAATCTCAACTATCATGCTTTTCTGGTTGTTATGGAATAATGAATTAAAATATGCAGAGTAAAATATGCAAGCTAATCCATCAATGTGATTTTAATATGCTTCAAAAAGTCACCTGGATGGGATGTAAACTTATATAACATTACACTGGGTCGTTACACTGCTAAGTGGGGACACAAGACAAGTCAGTAAAACACAGGTAAATTAAAAGCAATTCTCCTTTATTTATTTACATGAACAGCATAACCAGTGAAAGTAGCGAGAGTACAATATCATCTCTATTAAAGCTATTTAGAATAGGATCTCATTAAGAGCAAAACTGATTTCATTATATTGGCATGTGTTAAATTATATTTGAATGGTGGTATTGATGGCAATTCCTGAAATTCTGTGCACTTAAAAAATAACCATATACTTTAAAGTTTTCTATTGTAAATGAGAAATATTGCCAAAAATGAGCTAGAAACCATCGTTGATATGACAAACCAGCGTATATTAATCAGTAAAGTTAAGGAACATATGTACCTACCTGTACAGGTAATACAAGGAACATGTCAAGGATTTTGCAGAGTTTTGTGATATCAACAGTTTCTGTGTTACCATAGTCGACATACCGGACTGTTACCATCTTGTTACCAGGTAAATCTATCACCTGGGCCCGGTACCAGGTATCATCAGCCAAGTACCGTGCCACACATATCATACCTGTAACACATCAAATCATACCTTATACACATACTTTACCTGTATCATACCTGTAACACATCAAATCATACCTTATACACACACCATACCTGTAACACATCAAATCATACCTTATACACATTCTTTTCCTGTATCATACCTGTAACACATCAAATCATACCTTATACACACACATCACCTGTATCATACCTGTAACACATCAAATCATCCCTTATACACATACCTTACCTGTATCATACCTGTAACACATCAAATGATACCTTCAACACACACATCACCTGTATCATACCTGTAACACATCAAATGATACCTTCAACACACACATCACCTGTATCATACCTGTAACACATCAAATCATCCCTTATACACATACCTTACCTGTATCATACCTGTAACACATCAAATGATACCTTCAACACACACATCACCTGTATCATACCTGTAACACATCAAATCATACCTTAAACACAAACCATACCTGTATCATACCTGTAACACATCAAATCATACCTTATACACACACCATACCTGTAACACATCAAATCATACCTTATACACATACCTTACCTGTATCATACCTGTAACACATCAAATCATACCTTATACACATACCCTACCTGTATCATACCTGTAACACATCAAATCATACCTTCAACACATACCATACCCATATCATACCTGTAACTCATCAAATCATAGCTTATACACATACCTTACCTGTATCATACCTGTATGCATTAAATCATACCTTAAAACCATACCATACATGTATCATACCAGTAACATACAATATACCTTAGTTGTGGCCAATCTTTTGCACAATATTGGTGGTCACTGTCTCACCACCACAATATCTATGGTCACTCACCTATCCTGGGACAGTAGACAGTCCATGCATCTCCCCTTTCCATGTTATACTGGTCTTGCATTTGCTTCATCACCGTATGGAAGTAGCTGGACTCCTCACCAATCTACAGCCATTCATCAGAGAAAGGATTCACCACATATTAGGTGTTGTACCATTACATGTCAATAAATCATAAATACAACCAATCTCTACCAATAAATCATAAATACAACCAATCTCTACCAATAAATCATAAATACAACCAATCTCTACCAATAAATCATAAATACAACCAATCTCTACCAATAAATCATAAATACAACCAATCTCTACCAATAAATCATAAATACAACCAATCTCTACCAATAAATCATAAATACAACCAATCTCTACCAATAAATCATAAATACAACCAATCTCTACCAATAAATCATAAATACAACCAATCTCTACCAATAAATCATAAATACAACCAATCTCTACCAATAAATCATAAATACAACCAATCTCTACCAATAAATCATAAATACAACCAATCTCTACCAATAAATCATAAATACAACCAATCTCTACCAATAAATCATAAATACAACCAATCTCTACCAATAAATCATAAATACAACCAATCTCTACCAATAAATCATAAATACAACCAATCTCTACCAATAAATCATAAATACAACCAATCTCTACCAATAAATCATAAATACAACCAATCTCTACCAATAAATCATAAATACAACCAATCTCTACCAATAAATCATAAATACAACCAATCTCTACCAATAAATCATAAATACAACCAATCTCTACCAATAAATCATAAATACAACCAATCTCTACCAATAAATCATAAATACAACCAATCTCTACCAATAAATCATAAATACAACCAATCTCTACCAATAAATCATAAATACAACCAATCTCTACCAATAAATCATAAATACAACCAATCTCTACCAATAAATCATAAATACAACCAATCTCTACCAATACATCCTAAATACAACCAATCTCTACCAATAGATCATAAATACAACCAACCTCTACCAATAAATCATAAATACAACCAATCTCTATCAATAAATCATAAAATACAACCAATCTCTACCAACAAATCATAAATACATTACACATACAACCTTTTCTGTACAACACTGTAACAGCATATTGGACAACATATAATTCATAAAATACAACCAATCTCTACCAGTACATCCTAAATACAACCAATCTCTACCAACAAATCATAAATACAACCAATCTCTACCAACAAATCATAAATACATTACATATACAACCTTTTCTGTACAACACTGTAACAGCATATTGGACAACATGTTTTTTTTATTAAAGTGATTCAAGTTTTAGAAACTGTGAATAGTACCCCAGACAACCAACAGAAATTGTGTTTTTTACCTGTTGTACATAAAAACTTGAAGGGTCATTGGCACATGTGAGGTGGGCATCAAAGCGAGTGCCAGGTGACACTGGACTGGGACAGAGAAAACAACGCTTAGGGGGAGCCATACCTGTAAAAGAAACATTGTCAGTAGAATGTTGTATATCACATTTCACGTTTTTTTCTGTATATTTAGGGGCTTTCCATACCGGATGTCGTGACTAGACTCGCCCTCAAACATGCAACAAAATGGTGGGTTATCAATGTATTTTTTAGACTAGGTGGACCTCCAGCAGGAAATAAACAGCTCCCTGTGAACCTACCATTTGATGTTGTTGTTAATACAAACTGATACACGTTTATTTTATGCAGTATTATGATGACTAACTGACAGCTGACTATGACTGAGAAATCGGCCTGTGAACAACAATGAATGATGCGATTCATCATCTTCAAAATGCAATTCTTTAGCCTGGGTCTGGGATTGATTTTGGTAACAAAGTTCTTTAGTTTTCTATATACAAGTAGATTTTATTGTTATTTTTAGTGAAATATCAATAATTACTTGCATAAGTCTAGATAAATACATGAGGATAAATTGACGACTGTTCGTATCAAATGCACTTGCTGCTATGTTGTTTATATTGTTGATTACCAAAAGCAACATCTTGCGGAAAATTTGACAAAATTAGGTAACATTATTTGGATTCACAACTGCCGTGTGCTATAACCAGCTAATCAGGACAAAGGTAACACCAAAGTTTTTTGTCAGGTGTCCACAAAAACAGGAATGAGATGGCATACTTTTTGGCATCTGTTCACGATGACAGTACAGAAACAGTTTAAGGCTTTTTACATCCACAATGTTTGGTACGAAAGTATATAAGGGTAGACACAAGGATTTACCTACCCACTACATTATTAGATGCTGGCATGATGAAGTTAGCCTATATAAGGGTAGACACAAGGATTTACCTACCCACTACATTATTAGATGCTGGTGTGATGAAGTTAGCCTATATAAGGGTAGACACAAGGATTTACCTAACCACTACATTATTAGATGCTGGTTTGATGAAGTTAGCCTATATAAGGGTAGACACAAGGATTTACCTACCCACTACATTATTAGATGCTGGTGTAATGAAGTTAGCCAGCTCCAGGAATACAAGCGTGTCTCTCACAGAGATTGGACGATCATCAACAATGTCATCGTCTGGAGGCTTACTCAGGTCCACATGTAGCACATTGTTAACCTCACTGATTACCTGTAAGTACATCAAGATTAAATATTAGGTCATGTGATATCAGGTTTAGTTAAACTGAGTAATACAACCACATGTAGCACATTGTTAACCTCACTGATAACCTGTACATCGAGGTCAAATATTAGGTCATGTGATAACAGGTTTACTGAAACTGAGTAAAACAACCACATGTAGCACATTGTTAACCTCACTGATAACCTGTGCATCGAGGTCAAATATTAGGTCATGTGATATCAGGTTTACTTAAAATGAGTACACATGTAGCACATTGTTAACCTCACTGATAACCTGTACATCGAGGTTAAATATTAGGTCATGTGATATCAGGTTTACTTAAACTGAGTAATACAACCACATGTAGCACATTGTTAACCTCACTGATAACCTGTGCATCGAGGCCAAATATTAGGTCATGTGATATCAGGTTTACTGAAACTGAGTACGCATGTAGCACATTGTTAACCTCACTGATTGCCTGTACATCGAGGTCAAATATTAGGGCATGTGATATCAGGTTTACTGAAACTGAGTAATTCAACCACATGTAGCACATTGTTCACCTCACTGATAACCTGTGCATCGAGGCCAAATATTAGGTCATGTGATATCAGGTTTACTGAAACTGAGTAATTCAACCACATGTAGCACATTGTTAACCTCACTGATAACCTGTGCATCGAGGTCAAATATTAGGCCATGTGATATCAGGTTTACTTAAACTGAGTACACATGTAGCACATTGTTAACCTCACTGATAACCTGTACATCGAGGTCAAATATCATGTCGTGTGATATCAGGTTTACTTAAACTGAGTAAAATAACCACATGTAGCTCATTGTTAACCTCACTGATTACCTGTTAGTACATCAAGATTAAATATTAGGTCATGTGATATCAGGTTTACTTAAACTGATTAATACAACCACATGTAGCACATTGTTAACCTCACTGATAACCTGTACATCGAGGTCAAATATTAGGTCATGTGATATCAGGTTCACTTAAACTGAGTAAAATAACCACTCAACCAGTTCATCCAGTAGAGAGGATTAATTACTGTCATGCCTAATCATGTTACATTACAGGAAGATTTGGTCTACTGCTCTGAAGTGTCGGTACAACACCAATAAATATCCCATCAGGGTCCTGATTTATCAAACTTAGAAAATCGTCTGATAACAAAAACCATGAAAACAATGAAACTTTTAAGTTTAATCAAGGACTTTAATTCATTTTCATTTTCAAGAGTTTTTAAAAGACAGTCATCAAATCTGTTTTTTCAAAACCTGTGTGACCCCTATTTCGTATAATTCCATTTCCACAGAAAAATCTCATAAAATTTGAAGCTAATCCGTCAACATTGCTCAAGAATTTTTGGACATTGTGCACCTGCCTGACCGTAAACTCACATGAAACCATATTGTGTTGTCTTTGAATAGCTTAAAACAAGAGTACCGTGGGGCGGAACAATATATGCTCGTTGTATGCCATACAGTGTTATATACTTTCTTACATTGAAATAAGATCTGCATCATTCTAAGAGTGGTTAGCTGACATGCTATAACAAGAGGCCCATGGGCCTTAACAGTCACCTGATATATTTATACAGAGAGTTGATTTTGTTTTTACCACGAACAGAAATATTATTCAGTGACAAAAAACAATAAAACCACCTTATTCAATATCTAGCATACAGATTTCAGACTAAAAAGTATTTGAAACTAGCACCTCTGATTCTAAACAAGGAAAATGAAGAAATTTTAGCACACTGACTCCTTTGGGCCCCACCCTACAGCCCCTGGGGGTAGGGCTGGCTCAAAATTTTCAAAGTATCAAACTGTCAAC